TCTCTCTCTCTCTCTCTCTCTCTCGTGATCCTTTTTTGTGTGAAGTAAGAATAACTCGTCAGCTCTGTTTATTGTAGGTCCATCAGGTGATTTCCTGCCCATTAGTGGCATAACACACCCAAAGGGAAGAGAGCCATTTAACCAACCCTCTCACCCTGATACTCCCCTGTCCTCCCCTGCTTCCCCGCTAACTCTGTCCAAAGTCTTTTTTAATACTTTAATAACACTAACAATCCTGGCATTTGATACAGCATCTCATGTGGAGTGCTGTAGCTCAGGGGTTAGACACTCACCTCACAAGCGAGAGGACCCGGGTTTGATTCCTGAGCAGAGCAAAACCTTAGACAAGTTTCCTTACTCCACACACCTCTGTTTACAGCGGTGAGTAGGAACCCGGTTGTTAGTCGATTGGTGGATCACTTTCGGAGGTAACAAATAATCCCTTCAAAAAAAATGATAAGAATTTGGTCACTCAATTCCACAACTGTTTGTAATAATAATAATAATCCTTGCATTTGATATAGCGCTTTTCACGTCGGGAGGACGTCCCAAAGCGCTTCACAGAACACACTGTAAAGTGAACTGACTGTATATTTGTGGGCGAACGCGGCAGCCAATTGCGCACAGCAATGTCCCACAAACAGTCGTGGATTGAAGACAACCAATTTATTATTGTTTTGGGTTTTGGAGGATTATTATTAGGCTCTGTATGGAGTAAGGAAACTTGCCCAAGGTTTCGCCCTCTGCCTGGAATTGAACTCAGGTCTCTCACTTGCAAAGCGAGTGCTCTAACCACTGAGCTGTGGCAAGTTTTGCCCACAAAATATACAGTTAATTCACTTTAGCGTATCCTGTGAAGTGCTTTGAGACGTTTTGAAGACGTGATAAGGCGCTGTGTCAAATTTAAGGGTTATTATTATACTGTAATGTGTGGTGACTGTTTTGTGGGTGAACGCAGCAGCCAGTTTGCACACAGCAACATTCCATACCCAGCCATGGAGTGAGTGACCAACTTTATTTGGGGAATTGTTGGCCAGGGCACCGGAGAGAGAATCTTGCTCCTTTTTTCGAATAGCACCGTGGGACTGCCCACCCACCCCACCCCCCCACCCTCCAGCGCTGCATTGGAGCATCATCTTAGACTGAAGTGGGGGCTTCAACCCACAACCTTCTGACTCGCGCGGCGAGAGCGCTACCACTGAGCCAGGCTAACCCCAGCCCTACACTGGAGGTCAGGCTATGAGTTCTACGTCCTGACTTTGCTCACAGGCTCTGTGGAGGGCGCTATATGAATCCAAGTTGTTGTTGTTGAGTTGGGCTGATAGGCAGCTCAGATGGACAGATGACTTTGTCTCGGGGACGAGATAAGGTGCTGTGTGAAATGCAAGTTTGATCATAATTACAGCAACAACTTGCATTTATATAGTGCACCTCACGCAGGATAGCGTCTCAGAGCACTTGATATCGTATTAGTTGTTAATTAGTGTCAAATTATTATAATAATATTATTCTCCAGGTAAATTCACTTCACAGCTGTTTGTGGAACTTTTATCTTGGGGAAGTGTTTTGAGGGCTTTAACGTGATAGGATCAGGAGGAGGCCATTCAGTCCACAGAGCCTGTTCCATCAGTGAATTGGATCACATCAGGTCTTTTAATCCCATTTCCCTGCCTTTCCCCCACACCCCTTAATGAACCCCATGTCTCTGTCCGTCTCCAATCCTATTAGGATTGCCAACCACATTCTCCCTCCAGCTGGGCACTAGCCTCACAAGCGAGAGGACCTGGGTTCAGAGGCGAGAGACGGGCTGACTGATCCCTGTGAGGTGTTTGGGAAGTTCTGACACCAAAGTTACTGTGTCAAGTGCCAGCATGCTATATTTAAAAAAATCTGGTTAATAAATCCAAGCTGTTCCCAGAGCATTAACTGTATTTATAATAACAATAATGATCCTTATATTTGATATAGCACCTTATCATGTCACTGTGACGTCTCAAAGCGCTTCACAGAATAGACTGTAAAGTGAATTGACTGTATATTGTTGGACAAAAACGGCAGCCAATTGGGCACAGCAACGTCCCACAGACAGCCGTGGATTGAGTGACAAAATTGCTTTTTGGAGGGATTATTGCCCCCGGAAAGTGATCTGCCAATCGATTCCTACGTATTGCTCGGTAAAGAGAGGCGTGAGGAGTAAGGAGACTTGCCTAAGGTTTGGCGCTGCCCATGAATTAAACCCAAGGTTCTCTCGCTTGCGAGTGGAGTGCTCCAATCACTGAGCTATGGGACTACAGTATCAAACACAAGGGTTATTGTTACTCTGCCCCCCCCCCCCCACACACACACACACACAAATCCGAGGGCTCTGGAACGAAAACGAGAGAGGAAAGGTTTGCTAACTAACAGCTGTGACTGTAATCCCAGCTCAGCCAGGATGGGGTTTGAAGACAGGTGTATTATCTCGAACCAGGAAAAATGATGTTTTGCCGAGAGCTAGTGAGGCTGAGATCCCAGCAGTACTCACACTGAGAACGGCTCAGCACCAAGAATTCACCTACACAATCCATAGTCACTACACTTGACAGTGTCTTGTACCTCACAAGTGAGAGGACCCGGGTTCTATTCCAGGGCAGGGAAAAATCTCAGGCAACATTTCTTACTCACACGCCTCGGATTACCAGCAGTAAGTAGGAACCTGGTTGTTAGTTGATTGGTGGATCACTTTTCTGGGGGTAATAATCTCTTCAAAAAAAATTATATTGAGTCACTCAATCCAGGACTGTTTGTGGGACACTGCTGTGTGCAATTGGCTGCCGCATTTCGCCCACAAAATGATATACAGTATATCCTGTGAAGACCTTTAAGACATCTCAACAACATGGTAAGGCGCTATATCAAATGCCAGTATTATTTATTATTTATATTCACCTGTAATTCTCCTGTGGAATGATTCACATTCAAAATACACAGTCACTGCACATTACAGTATATCCCGTGAAGCACTTTGGGTTATCTTCCCTACATGGAAGGCACTGTATCACAGGCTAGGCTTATTATTATTATATCTCGGCCTCTGTATTATGCCTCTGGTGTACAATGATTGCTTATTATTCTATGATGCAGGTTTCTCAGCGGCTGACCTGACCTGACCTGACCACTGGCTGCTGTACACCAGAGGGTTGACCCTTCGCTGCAACTCTCATCACCGGGGCTGGAATGAAGCCCAATGTTTGTTGTGTTCTGTCCGCAATCTGCTTCCTGCTGTGTAATTCCGTGGGCAGCCACGCCATCCAATGGCTGTGAGTATCTATCTCTGATCAGGAGTTCTGTTGTGCAGGGGTTAGAGCCCTCGCCTGGCAAGCGAGAGGACCTGGGTTTGATTCCCGGGCAGGCGAAACATTGGGCAAGGTTCCTTACGCCACATGCCTCTGTTTGCAGTAATTAGGAAGCTGGTTGTTAGTCGATTAGCGGATCACTTTCCGTGGGTAATAAACCCTTAAAAATAATACTTCAATCCACAGCTGTTTGTGGGACGCTGCTGTGCACAATTGTCTGCCGAGTTTAGCCCACAAAATACACAGTCAATTCACACAGTTGTGTAATGGAAACAGCACCCAGTTATAATAATAATAATCTTTGCATTTGATATAGCGCTTTTCACGTCTTCTCGACATCTCAAAGCGCTTCACAGAATAGACTGTAAAGTGAATTGACTGTATATTTGTGGGTGAAATGCGGCAGCCAATTGCGCACAGCAATGTCCCACAAACAGTCGTGGGTTGAAGCGACCAATTTATTATTGTTTCTATGCTTGAGGGATTATTATTAGGCTCTGTGTGGAGTAAGGAAACTTGCCCGAGGTTTGGCCCTGACCTGCCAGGAATCAAACCCAGGTCTCTCGCTTGCAAAGTGAGTGCTCTAACCACTGAGCTACAGGACTCCACACTGCACACAGCAGATTCCCACAAATAGTCATGGAGTGAGTGACCAATTGTATCTGGGGGATGGTTGGCCAGGACACGGGGGAGAGAGAGAAACTCCCTTCTCTTTTTGAATAGCGCCACAGGATCTTTAATGTCCACCTGAACAGGCCGACGAGACCTCAGTTTAACATCTCATGTGAAGGATGGCACCTCTCACACATGCAAGTTATTTTTATTTCATTGATTGGTTGTTGGTGAGTTGGTTGTTTGGTGAGTTGGTTGGTTAATGAGTTGGTTGGTTGCATAGAATGTTTGGTTAGTTAATTGGTGGGTTGATGTGTTGGTAGTTGATTGGTTGGTTGGTGAGTTATTTGGTAAGTTGGTTGATGAGTTGGTTGGTTGCATAGGATGTTTGGTTAGTTAATTGGTGGGTTGATGTGTTGGTTAGTTAATTAGTTGGCTGGTTAGTGAGTTGGTTGCCTAGGATGTTATAGAATCATACAGCACAGAAAGAGGCCATTCGGCCCATCGTGTCTGCGCCAGCTCCTAAAAGAGCAATCCAACTCAACCCCACCGGCCCGCTTTCTCTCCATAGCCCTGCAATCCTGTCCTCCCCAAATACCCATCTACTTTTCTCTTAAAAGTTGTTATTGAATTGGCTTCCACGACGCTTTCAGGTATTCCAGATCCCAACAACTCGCTGTATGAAAACAATTTTCCTAACCTCCCCTCTGTTTCTTTTAACAACTATTTTAAATCGGTGTCCTCGGGTTACTGACCCACATGTCAGTGGGAACAGTTTTTCCCGGTTCAACCTATCAAATCCTCTCATGATCGTGAAAACCTCTATTAAATCCCCTCTTATTCTTCTCTGCTCTCGGGAGAATAATCCTAGTTTCGCTAACCTCTCCTCATAACTAAGGTCCTTCATTAATAATAATAATAATCCTTGCATTTGATATAGCGCTTTTCACGTCCCTGGTACCATCCCGGTAAACCTCCTTTGCATCCTCTCCAATGCCCCAACATCTTTCCTAAAGTACAGTGCCCAGAACTGAATGCAGTCTCAACTGAGGCCAAACAGCATCTTAAAAATATTCAACATAACCTCCTGACTTTTGAATTCTATGCCCTTATTTATAAAGCCGAGTATCCCGTAAGCTTTTTAACAGCTTTATCTACCTGTCCTGCCACCTTCAGAGATTTGCTGATGTGAACCCCCAGGATCTCTGTTCATTTGCCCCCTTTAAGATTGTACCATCAGCTTATATTACCTCTCTTCATTCTTCCTTCCAAAATGCAACACTTCGCATTTCTCCACATTAATCCTCATCTGCCACGTGTCTGCCCATGTTACCAATCTGTCTAAATCCTCTTGGAGTCTGGTGCTATCCTCCTCACCATTAACTACTTTTCCTAACTTAGTATCGTCTGCAAGTTTGTAAATTGTGCTCCCTATATCCAGGTCCAGATCATTAATATAGATCAAAAAGAGCAGTGGTCCGTTTACTACTATTCTCTGTCTCCTCGCCAGTTCTGGATCCATGTTGCCACAGTCCCTTTAATACCGTGGGCTTCCATTTTGTTTATAAGTCTCTTATGTGGCACTTTGTCAAATGTCTTTCGAAAGTCCATATAAACCACATCTACTGCACTAGGTGGTGGGTTGTTGTGTTGGTTAGTTGATTAGTTAGTTGGTTGGTTGGGTTATTTGATGGGTCAGTGACAGCAGCAACATGACAAACAACAACAAGCTGTGTCCATAGACAGGGTTTGAGGGGGGCAAGAGGGGGAAGAGGGGTCTGGCCCCTCTGAAGGTCAGCACCTTTGATAATGCAATGCTCCCATAGCGTTGTGCTGGAGAATCAGCCTACACTGTCAGCTCAAAGTTCCCGACAACCTCCTGACTCGAGCAAAATCTGTGACACGCTTGAGAAATTCTGACACTAAAGCCACTAAAGTGTCAAATACAAACATTTTATATATAAAACATGATCCGGTTAACAAGCCCAAGCTGTTCCCAGTGTGGAAACCTGATTTATAATAATAATAATCTTTATATTTGACAATAAATCATAAATAAGTATAATAAATATAATCAAAGTGCTTCACAGAATATACTGTAAAGTGAATTGACTGTATATGTTGTGGGTAAAAGGCGGCAGCCATTTGTGCACTTCAGTGTCCTGCAGACAGTCGTGGTTTGAGTGACCAAATTATTATTATTTTTATTGGAAGGGATTATTTCCCCCAGAAAGCGATCCACCAATCGACTAACAAGCGGGTTCCTCCTCACTGCTGGTAAACAGAGGCGTGTGGGGTAAGGGAACTTGGCTAAGGTTTGACCCCCTATCCGGGAATCAAACCCGAGGCCTCTCGCTTGCGAGGCGAGGGCTGTAACCACTGAGCTACAGGACTCCAGGTTTTTGGATAAGATGTCAAGTGGGTTAGACCACGTATGAAGTAAGTGTGTGTTGACACTGGGGGGGTTTCTGTCCTTGCAGGGCTCTGGCCACTGTTGGCCCCTCCATCCCCTTCAACCAGACTCAGAACTGCAAACACCTGGAGGGTCTGGTGTCTGCGCAGGTGCAGCTGTGCCGCAGTAACCTGGACCTGATGCACAGTGTGGTCCAGGCCGCCCGCCACGTCAGGACAACCTGTCGCAAAACCTTCTCCGACATGAGGTGGAATTGCTCCTCTATCGAGCTGGCTCCCAAGTTCAAACCCGACCTGGAGAGAGGTAAATACTGCTGATGATAATAATAATCCTGGCTTCTGTTATGGTGCCTTTCACCTCAGAGGGGACGTCTTGGAAGTGCTTCACCGGATTCACTGTGAAGTGTAGTGACTGTGTGTTATTGTTGGCCAATGAAGCAAACAATTTTGTGCACGATTTTATGTGTGGGATTGTCGGCCGGGACATCAGCCCTATTTTCCCAATCGCACTGCGAGATCTTTAACATCCACCTGAACAGGTTCTGACGGGGAGTGAGTGAGGTTTAATATCTCGTCCAAAGGCTGGGAATATCTCTTGATCATATGATAATAATCTGACACAGAAAGGACAGAAGTTTTGCAACCAATTGCTTGGTCTCACACACACACAAACACACACACAAAGGCACACATACACTCACACACACAAGCACACTAACCCCACACACTCACTCACCTCTCACAAACCTCTCTCACTCACACTCACACACACTCACACACACTCACTCACCTCTCACTCACTCACCTCTCACTCACTCACTTCTCACAAACCTCACTCACTCACCTCTCACAAACCTCACTCACTCACAAACCTCTCTCACTCACACTCTCACACACTCACACACACACTCACTCACCTCTCACTCACCTCTCACAAACCTCACTCACTCACACACGCACTCACTCACTCACTCACTCACACACCTCTCACACACACTCACACCTCTCTCACACACACACACAACTCTCACACACACAACTCTCTCACACACACTCACTCACACACCTCTCACACACCTCTCACACACAACTCTCACACACTCACACACTTCTCTCACACACACAACTCACTCACACACCTCTCACACACTCACACCTGTCACACACCTCTCATACGCACACAACTCTCTCACACATTCACACACTTCTCTTACACATCTCTCTCACACACTCACTCACCTCTCACACACCTCACTCACACACTCACTCACACCTCTCACACACTCTCTCGCACACACCTCTCACACACACTCACTCACACATGTCTCTCGCACACACACTCCCATATGCGAGAGCAACACCCCACACAGAGGCAGCATGAGTGAGGGAGAGATTAAGAGACACACACCTCCCATCGCTGCTCCAGTATCCGCAGTGCGGATCTGGGGCTCTGTGTGTTATTAATATGAAGATTAACCCTGTCTGTGTGGCTCAGGCACACGGGAATCGGCCTTTGTCTACGCGCTCTCCGCGGCCTCCATCAGCCACACGATTGCGAGGGCCTGCACCACGGGGGAGCTGAGGGGCTGCTCCTGTGGCCCCATCACCTCCGAGCTACAGGGGGCCGGATACCGTTGGGGGGGGTGCGGAGACAACCTCAACTATGGCCTCCTCATGGGCTCCAAGTTCCTCGATTCTCCCATGAAGGTCAAGCGGTCGGGATCGCAGGCCAAGCTGATGAACCTCATGAACCTGCACAACAGTGAGGTCGGCCGACAGGTAATCAGCACTGGATAACACTCTACACCACAGCCAGTCACCGTCACTCTACACCACAACCAGTCACCATCACTCTACACCACAACCAGTCACCGTCACTACACCACAGCCAGTCACCATCACTCTACACCACAGCCAGTCACCATCACTCTACACCACAGCCAGTCACCGTCACTCTACACCACAGCCAGTCACCGTCACTCTACACCACAGCCAGTCACCATCACTCTACACCACAACCAGTCACCGACACTCTACACCACAGCCAGTCACCGTCACTCTACACCACAACCAGTCACCGTCACTCTACACCACGGCCAGTCACTGTCACTCTGCATCACAGCCAGTCACTGTCACTCTATTTTAATGGCAGTAATTGGCACTATGCTATTGCCAGTCACTGTCACTGTAGACAAGAGCACAAAATAACTGGCATATTTGCTTACAAATACAGGTAATACACTCAACAATAACACATGACATTTACACGGAGCCTTTCACATCAGGAGGACATCCCAAGGCCCTGGACAGTCAGGGATTAGGACGCGAGCTGGGGGTTGGGATCAGAAGGGGTAGAGGGCAGGGAGGGTGGGGGGTAGGAGGGTGACAGAATGCGCGGATCTTGAGACGGGCCTTGGAAGACCAAAAGAGGGAGTGAGGTGAAGGGACAGTGGGATGGAGTTCCAGAGAGTGGGGACAGCAATCACTCTGAAGCTCTCTGAGACGTACCTAAAGAGTTCTAACAATGCAATTCTTCCCTCCCTCCCTCCCTCCCTCCCTCCCCCCCTCCCCCCTGTTATCCCCAGTTGCTGAGCGCGGCTGTGGAGATCAAGTGCAAGTGCCACGGTGTGTCTGGGTCATGCTCGGTGAGGACGTGCTGGCAGGGGCTGCAGGAGCTGAGCCTGGTGGCCGCTGACCTGAAGGTCCGGTACCTGTCGGCCACCAAAGTCGTCCATCGCCCGGTTGGAACCCGCAAACAGCTGGTGCCCAAAGACATCGACGTGCGGCCAGTAACTGACACTGAGCTCGTTTACCTGCACAGCTCGTCCGACTTCTGCTCCAGGAACGAAAAGATGGGATCGTCTGGGACCCAAGAGAGGTGATAATCTTACAGTAATAATTAATAATAAATAAAACCCTCACATTTAACACAGTGACTTTCACATTAATGATAATAATAATCCTGGCATTTGATATATATATGTGTGGAGACCTGTAGCTCAGTGGTTAGAGCACTCGCTTTGCAAGTGAGAGACCTGAGTTCAATTCCAGGCAGAGGGCGAAACCTTGGGCAAGTTTCCTTACTCCACACAGAGCCTAATAATAATCCTCCAAATAACAAAAACAATAATAAATTGGTCATTTTCAATCTACGACTGTTTGTGGGACATTGCTGTGCGCAATTGGCTGCCGCGTTCGCCCACAAATATACAGTCAATTCACTTTACAGTGTGTTCTGTGAAGCGCTTTGGGACGTCCTCCCGACGTGAAAAGCGCTATATCAAATGCAAGGATTATTATTATTATTATTATTATAGCGCCTGATCACATCTTTGCAACGTCTCAAAGCACTTCACAGAATATACTGTAAAGTGTAGTGACTGTATTTTGTGGGCAAAATGCAGCAACCGGGTGAATTGACTAACAACTGGGTCCCTACTCACTGCTGCTAAACAGAGGTGCGTGGAGTAAGGAAACTTGGCTAAGGTTTCTCTCCGCCCGGATATCAAACCTGGGTCCTCTCGCTTGCGAGGCCAGTGTCTGACCCCTGAGCTCCAGGACTTAAAGTGCTTCACAAGAATAACTAAATTGTGTGTGTTTGTAGGCAAACGTGGCAGCCAATGTTGTGGGTGGGGAGGGGGGGAGGGAGGGAGGGGAGTGCTGCACTAATGGCTCTGACCCAAACAAACCTCACACCCAATCCCACTCGCCCGATCCCAGATAAAGCAAAGTCTTGTTTGCCAAGACACGTTCTGTAGTAAGAGAGACATCCACATGGCCTGAATTCACCGGCTCACAATTCCTGACTCGCATCATTCATTTAGCCATTCAGTTGTAACAGAAACAATGGGGGAACGCTCTCATGGGGAAAAANTATGGAGTGCATGAAAGTTCAATCTCCATGTAACCGGCGCTGTTTGTGAGATGGAATCTGGCACTGGTCTCTATAGCATCAGAGTTTAATTGGACTGTCCAATGTTATGGAGTTTTGTAGCTCAGTGGTTAGAGCGTTGCCTCGTAAGCGAGAGGACCCGAGTTCGATTCCCGGATAGGGCAGAACCTTCGGCAAGTTTCCTTATTCCACAAACAAACCTCTGTTTACAACAACAATAACCCCTCGCTCGCCCCCCTATTGGCAGGCGGGCCTTCTGCCACTCTGCCCCCACCCTCTGGAACTCCATCCCGCAGTGCCTCTGCCTCGCCCCCTCCCTCGCCTCCTTCGAGACCCATCTCAAGACCCTCCTCTTCAACCGTGCTTTCGATCTCCCTGCCCTCCTCCCCTGCCCTCCACCCTTCCCCCCCCCCATCCCAACCTCCAGCTCAGGTCTGAAACACTCGACTGTCCAGCGCCTTGGGACGTCCTCCCGACGTGAAAAGCGCTTTTCACATGTATTGTTGTTGTTTTGCCATCGAGCCTTAGTTTTGATTAAGGTTAAAGACCTGCCCGGCTTAGTGGGTTCCTCTCATACTCAGACAATCATAGAATCCTACAGCACAGAAGGAGGCCATTTGGCCCATCATGCCTCTGCCATCTCTTTGAAACAGCCACCAACTGGTCCCTCTCCCCCGCTCTAACCCCAACTGGTCCCACTCCCCCGCTCTTACCCCAACTGGTCCCACTCCCCCGCTCTTACCCCAACTAGTCCCTCTCCCCCGCTCTAACCCCAACTGGTCCCTCTCCCCCGCTCTTACCCCAACTAGTCCCATTCCCCCGCTCTTACCCCAACTGGTCCCTCTCCCCTGCTCTTACCCCAACTGGTCCCTCTCCCCCGCTTTTACCCCAACTAGTCCCACTCCCCCGCTCTTAACCCATCTAATCCTTCTCCCCCGCTTTTACCCCACAGCCCTAAACATTTCAGATCGTAACAATTCTCTGGGTTAAAAACATGTCACCTCGTCTGGTCTCCCCTTTGGTTCTTTTGCCAAGTCAGAAATCACCAGGTCAGGACTTTGAGCTCACAGTCTCGCTCCCCCTCTTTCTCTCTCTCACTCGCTCCCTCTCTGGGGACTTCCTAAAGTGAAAGGGCTTTATACCAATGTAATTTGTTGTTGTTGTTGACTCTTAGACAGTGTAACAAGACGTCTAATGGCAGTGACAGCTGTGATCTGATGTGCTGTGGGCGGGGTTATAACCCTTATACAGAGACACTGGTGGAGAGATGTCACTGCAAATACCACTGGTGCTGCTACGTCACGTGTAAGAGGTGTGAGCGGGTGGTGGAGCGCTACGTGTGCAAGTAAGATGGGAACATCCTTCCCCCCCCCCCACCCTCCCCCTCGCTCAGGCACACCCTCCCCTCCCCTCCCGGACCCCACCAGAGGTGACCTCGGAGGCTCTCTGTCCCCAGGGTTGGGGGTTGGGTTGTCGTGGACTCTGTTTGTCTGGCGGCCATAGTGGAATGAACATGGACATGGAATCCATCTCACTGGATAATTGAAGCTCACATTCCTCTCCTCCTCTCCCCATTTCCCCCCCATCTCTGCAAGCTCCGCAAGTACACAGGTGGGCTCACATACAAACACCCTTCACCACCCGCCCCCCCCACACACACAACCTCCACCCCCCCACCCCAACACACAAACCACTGGCTCAGGGGTGGATGGGGGGTGTAATTTATGGATGGATGGAAAGAATGCTATGGCCCTCTATTTATTGTGGGGATGGGGATGGGCTTGGAATTAGAGGTTTTGTCCATTGGAAACTGAGTGCTTTGGGGAGGGAGGTTCTGGTGCAAGTTTGTCTGTGTGTGTGATTGGGGGGGCTGGGGGCAGGAGATTGCAGAACAAGGTTAAAGTGAATATCTGGTGTCAGGGTTGAAGGCCACAGTAACTGACCAATCACTGGGGACAGGGAATCCTCCCCCTCAGCTCCTGGTAACCCCACAGCCAAAGCCCTAACGGGGAGGGGGGTCCTCGCTGGACAAGCAGCGGGAAAGCTTGGCCAGACAGCGATAGCAATGGCCAAGCTGTGTGGGTTTAGCCGGTTAGACTCCAGCAGTTACCCCAACACACACTCTGGGCCCCCCCCAAGCCTTGGCTCTCGCCAACCTGTGCCTAATACTCTCCGGAATTAGGTAAACAGGATGTGTCCCTCCAGAGAGAGAGAGCGCATTCCATTCCAACAAACTCTCTGGGATTTCCATGTGTGGGTGGGATGTGGGGAATTCTCAGTTTGGTTTGGAGACTCTTAATCAGGTGATGGGTTTCTGCGTGTGTCAGACACTCGGCCGGGCAAAAAAAAAGAATGAGTCTTGCTTTAAGCTATGAGTGTGTGTGATGTGGAGGGGAATGAATTATTTCTGGTAAAACAGTAATGGAATTTCAGGCCAGCTGTAAAACATATGTGTATATATTTCTCAATCTTATACCGTTTTATTATATATTAAAAAATTAACATTTTAAAAAAAGGAAGAAAAAAAAGTAATATTTATATTAGAATTTTTATGTTTTTTNGAGACTTAAATATCTGTTATGAAAACATGTTTTGCTGTTTTTTTAAGAAAAAATTAAAATAAAAAACAATTTGCTATTTTTTATTTGGACTGCAATGATATTATACTTTGTGGCTGTGAGACCGGAGGTCACGAGGGGTTAAGGGGGAGGGAGTTAAAGGGTTAAAATGTGCTGTGCGGTTTTAAAATAATTAATAAAATAATAATATTCCTTGCATTTAATATCGGGCCTTTCATGTCATGGGGCGTCTCTAAGCGCTTCAAAGGAAACGCAGGTTTCTCCCCGCCCAGGAATCGAACCCGGGTCCTGTTGCTTGCGAGGCAAGTGCTGTAACCACTGCACTACAGCGCTCCACTTACACAGCACTTTGAGATGTTTCGTCGACATATTCAGGAATACCTTCACACAATATATTGTCACGCGAAGTGTGGGTGAAACACAGCAGCCAATTTGCACACAGCAATGTCCCGGTGAGCAGGACGTCTCAAAGTGCTTCACAGCAATTACTGTGAAGAGTAGTGACTGTTTTGTGGAGGGGAGGGAGAGATGGGACCAGACCAGCGTGTAAACACTGAGTGGACCTCTGCTTGCCCCGTACACAGGTCACAGGCAATAATGGCCTCCCATTGTTTACACTGGCCGATGGGTGCACATGTCTTTATCTGCCCCACCCCACACTCACACACACTCACACTCATGCACACTCCCACACACACTCACACACTCCCACACACCCTCACACACACACTCACACTCCCACACGCCCTCACACACACACTCGCACACTCCCACACACACTCACACACACTCACACTCGCACACTCCCACACACACACTCACACACTCGCGCATTCACACACACTCTCACACACACCCCACACACACACTCACACTCACATACTCGCACACTCCCTCACACACACACTCCTACACACCCTCACACACACACACCCTCACACTCGCACTCTCACACACCCTCACACACACACTCACACTCTCATACTCGCACACTCTCACACACACTCTCCCACTCTTACACACACTCATACACTCTCATACATTCTCTCACATCTCTCCCACACTTTCCACCACTCATTGACTTTGAATGGTCTGAAACCTTTCTCATTCATCCCCAATGTACACAATTCCAATCTCCAACTCATTCACTGCCAATTACAACAATAATAATGATCCTCACATTTGCTTTAGTGCCTTCTCACATCAGGAGATCGTCCCAAAGCTCTTCACACAATATACTGTATCCCAGAGGGTTTTGTGGGGGTTTAAACTCAGCAGTTAGTTGCGCTCAGCAATGTCCAACAAACAGCCTTGGAGGGAGTGACCAATTTTATCTGAGGTCAGAAAAACACCACTCTCTGCTCTCTGTCTCCCAGACAGTTCTGTATCCGCTGCCACTGTCCCTTTAATACCGGGGGCTTCGATTTTGCTACAAGTCCCTTATGCGGCACTTTGTCAAACGCCTTTTGAAAATCCCTATAAACTACATCACCTGCACTGCCTTCATCCGCCCTCTCCGTTACTGCATCAAAAACCTCTATCAGGTTTGTTAGACACGATTTGCCTTTAACAAACCCGTGTTGACTGTCCTTTATTAACCCATATTTTTCTAAGTGAAAGTGTATATTGTCTCGGATTATAGTCTCTAGAAGTTTCCCCACTACTGACGTTAGGCACTGGCTGTAGTTCCCGGGTTTATCCTTCTGCCCCTTTTTGTACAGGGAGTAACATTTGAACCCTTCAGTCCTCTGGCACCGTCCCGGTGTCCAAGGAGGATTGAAAGATTGTGGCCAGAGCCTCCGTTATTCCCACCCTGACTTCCCTCAGTAACTCTCAGGATGTATCCTGTCCGGACCAGGTGACTTATGTACCTTGAGCACTGACAACCTTTTTAGTGCCTCCTCTCGGTTTATTCTTATCCAATTTCTCTCCCCTCTCCTCCAATACTGTGGCATTGGCTGCATCCTCTTCTTTTGTGAAGACAGATGCAAAGTCCTCATTCAGTACGTCAGCCGAGCCCTCTGCCTCCACAAGAAGATTTCCTCTTTGATCCCTAATTGGACCCACCCTACCTTTGACTGACCTTTTATTCTTTCTATGCTGATAAAATACCTTAGGGTTCCCTTTTATGTTACCCGCTGATCTTTTCTCATACAATCTCTTTGTCCGTCTTATTTTCTTTTTCACTTCTCCTCTATCCTTTCTATATTCTATTTGATTATTTTCTGTATTTTGGACCTGACATATATCATAAGTCACCTTTTTCTGTTTTATTTTATTCCCAATTTCCTTACTCATCCAGGGAGGTTCGGATGCCCTCCTTTCCCCTTTGTGGGAATGTAGTTGTTTTGTCCCTGAACTATCTCTTCCTTGAAGGCTTCCCATTGCTCATTAGTTATTTTACCTGTCAATCTCTCTTTCCAGTCCACCTTGGCTGGGTCCCTTTTTAACTCACTGAAATTAGCCTCTTCCAGTGAGTATCTATACCTTTGATGGTTCCTTGTCCCTTCCCATAAGTACTCTAAACCTAATGATGTTGTGAACACTGTTGTTCAGATGCTCTCCTACTGAAACTGCTCCACTTCATTCCCCAGAACGAGATCCAGCACTGCTTCCTTCCTCGTTGGGCTGGAAACATACTGATCCAGAAAATTATCCTGCAAACATTTCAGTGTCGGTGACTTGAGGTAACAGATTCAAATGGGTCTCTAAAAGAAGCCGAGGGGAGGTGAGAAGACATGTTTTCACGCAGCGAGTTGTTCGAATCTGGAACGCATTACCTGAAAGGGCGGTCGAGGCCGATTCGATAACCACTTTTAAAAACGCGGTGAACGGGTATTTGAGGAGGACGGGTTTGTGGGTTATGGGGAAAGGGCCGGGGAGTGGGATTGACATTACATTGCTCTATTCAAAGAGCCGCACAGACTCGATGGGCCAAATGGCCTCTTTTTGTGCTGTACGATTCTATGATTCCATGATAACTTGTTTGTCCTCTCTAATGCTACATCCTGATTCCCTTCCCCCGTCAAAATTAGTTTAAACCCTTCCCCACAGCACCAGTTAACCTCCCTGTGAGGACATTGGTCCCAGCCCTGTTCAGGTGTAACCCATCCACCTTGTACAGGTCCCACCTACCCCAGAACTGATCCCAATGATCCTGGAACCTGAAGCCCTCCTTTCTGCACCATTTCTCCAGCCATTCATTCATATATTTGATCTGCTTTTTGATACGAAGCACTGGGAGTAACCCAGAGATCACCACCTTTGAGGTCCTACTCTTTAGCTGTTTCCCGAACTTCTGACACTCTCCCTGTAGGATCTCAGCCCTTTCTTTCCCTATGTCATGGATCCCAACATGGACCATGACTTCCGGATGTTCCCCTTCCCCCGTAGAATGCTTTGCACCTGTTCCGTGATGTCTTCAACCCTGGCACCAGGGAGGCCACAGACCACGCGAGAGTCACGTCTTTGGTTGTAGAAACGCCCGTCTACTCCTTTCACCATTGTGTCCCCAAAGACAATTGCATTGCCACTGTTCCCGGTGTCCCCCTGTGCATCCATTTGCTTTTGACTTCCCTCCCCAGAGGTGTCATCACCCTGACCGGTATTCGGTACATTAGAACAGTTTGTAATTGCCACATTCTCAGGGTATTTCTGCACTGCCCGTCCCCTCGTCCTCTCATGCCGGGTGGTCACCCACTCACTCTCCTTCTGAACCCTCTGTGGCTGTGGGGGGTGACCACCTCCTGAAACGTTCGATCCATGAGCTCATGCTATC